TGTTTTACCCATGATCCATCAGTCAAAAGAATCCTACAGATGGGCAAACTCTAGACCCTGGGGGATATGCCAAGAGCTGGCCAGCTGGTCACTCTTGGGGTCACCCAGGAAGCAGCCTGCTATGCTCTAAGGCAGAGTAGGCACCGGCTTACCCGGACGGCAGTTGCCTACCCTGCCCAAATATACAGTCCGAAGGGAAGGCTGTAGTGCCCTGTGGTGATGCTGATAGCCGGGTCATGACGTCACTCCAATCACAGCATCATAAAAAAGCATTCAAGAAAGCAGAACAAGAAGACCAGGAATATGACAGTAGCCACACTAGACCCTATGGAAAGAATCCCCACTAGAAAGGATCCCAGGGAAAGGATCCACTCCAGTTCTCCCAAAGGTCGGGATGCTCGGCGGACTTGAAAAAAAAACAAAAAACTCCCATATATGAGTTTTATAATTCTTTATTTTTTCAGTGTGAAGTATGACAGACAAGGTTACATAGACATTTCACTAGATTACATACGGCAATGGAGGGCTGCAAATGTTACATGAAATGTCCGTAATATTGCACTTTTTGTTAGGAAAATAAGTAGACATCAGGAGCACAATTCTACCATGTAAGGAAAGCAGAGAAAAAGCTCACTAAGAATGCAGCTTCAAAATGGATGCTGTCCAGGAGGTGGGAGGGCCTGGGAGGGAGGGTCTGCTGCTGATTGGCTGGAATGTGTCTGCTGACTGTGAGGTACAGGGTCAAAGTTTACTCAGTGATGAGTCCGTGGTGAACCGTTCGCAGCGAACTGTTGGCGAACCGTTCGGCGAGCCGTTCGGGACATCACTATCAGGGCACAATCACAGTATTAGCAGAAATAGTGGGCAACTTATATGCAGACATGCATGCGATGCCCATGGATGGTAGGCAAGTGTCCCATACATGTTGCGAAGTGGTGCCCCTCCAGCTCAGATTGTGATCTTTTCTGACCTTGCATCTCCGTGGAACAGACTGTGTCCAGATTCAGGATCAGGTCCCCAGGACCACCTCGATGCGTCCAAGAGGGCGTGCCGAGTGGGGATTCTCAGACTGTGCCAATTGCGCATGTAGATGTGGCACCTTTCTGTGCGGTGTGCTGGGGTGCGGCGGCGTGGTGAAGTGGTAGGCTTACTGCCTGGTTGGGTCAGCTTGAGCCTCCGCACTTTGTTCTTCACCACTCATGGTGTGCTTGGGCGACGCTGTAGGATCTTTGCTGCAGCTCGGCTACCCAGAGACCCAGGCTGAACCGGCACTCTCGATCCTTCGGGTAAAATAGTCGCCTTCCGAGAAGAAAGCATATCTCAGAATCTGGAACACAGCTGCTCAAATGCCAGTAAAAGTGAGTCCACTCGTGTTGCTGATTGTTGACAGGCATGTGGAGGGCTATTATCCACAGGCATGTACTCCCCAGGCTATTATCCACTGAGTAAAACAGGCCTCCAGCCTCTATGACAGAGGGAGTCCCTGAAAATAGGTGGAGTAGCCCACCAGTGGGGACCAGGATAACCTCTACCGGTCCAGAGGGGGGGCCAAGTAGGGCTGAAACCAAGCTTCGTCAGAGGATCAGCCTCTTCCTCTGCCTCAGGATTTCCTGTAGGCTGCAGTGCAGTCCAGAGTGGTTAACTTCCGTCAGAACCAAGAAAGCCCACCTTGTTCACTCAGGGGAGATAACCTCTAGAAATATAGTTGTTTTTTTTTAGGGAGAATTAGGACAAATTTGCAGTTTAAACAAGTATTTCAAGCTAAGGCTGCAGGGCTCCACCCGTGTGCGATCTGCTCGGCTGGCTGTCAGGCCCCGCTGTCACGACAAGTGGCATAATTCATTATTGCACTATGGAATATTGTCCTTTAATATAATTTGTTTAGTGCATTAATGACCTGCCTGCCTGGTAGAGATGATGGATGGTATTCATCCCATGCACTCTACACATACCTTTCCAGCCTATCTCCACCAACTCTTTCCAAATCCTCTACATACATACCCTCCTACAAAACTTTCAGATCCTACTCCCACCTTCACTTCCTTTCTATCCTTCTGCTCCTAGCAGCTGGTGATGTCTCTCCAAACCCAGGTCCCCTCTCAACAAACTCAGCACATACTAACCCAAGGATCCACACTAATCTCATACCCATCTCTTGTTCCTCTAAATCCTCCTTCAAAACTGCCCTCTGGAACGCACGCTCTGTTTGCAATATAACTAAATCCACTGCTGTCCACGACTTCTTCATCTCTCGTTCAATAGATTTACTAGCCTTAACAGAAACCTGGCTCTCCCCCTCTGACACTGCCACCCCTGCATCTTTGTCCTTCGGTGGTCTCCAACTTACCCACAACCCAAGAAACTCTGAATGTAAAGGTGGTGGTGTTGGGTTTCTCCTCTCCCCTCAATGCTCTTTTAAACCTCTTCCCACCCCCCCTTCCCTCTCTTTCCCATCATTTGAAATACACTCAATTCGCCTTTTCAAACCCTTCTCTGCTAACATTGCTGTTATTTACCGTCCCCCTGGTTCCCCTCTTCTCTTCCTTGACCACTTTGCTGCCTGGCTACCCTATTTCTTCTCTTCTAACATCCCATCCCTAATTCTCGGGGACTTCAATATTCTTATAAACCCACCTTTGACCTCTGCAGCCAATAAACTACTTTCAATTACTTCCTCCCTCGGGCTATCACAGTGGGCAAATTTTCCCACCCATGTAGCTGGCAATACCCTTGACCTAATCTTCACTTATGCATGTACTGTATCTAATATCTGCAACACTCCGTATCCACTCTCTGATCACCACCTCTTATCGTTTGCTCTCACGTACCCCCTCACCCAACAACCTCCCCCTAACCACCCTCAACTCAGGAGGGACCTTAATTCTCTTGATCTCCAACAGTTGTCAGCTGACATTGATTCACAACTGCTGTCCATCCCTTCCCTCTCCTGTCCTTCACTGGCCATCTCCATATATAACTCTACTCTTACATCTGCCTTGAACACTGCAGCGCCATTCCAAACAAGCACCTCAAGGAGGACCCGCCCCCAACCGCGGCATACTAAATCAATGCGCTACCCGCAAAGATGCTCCCGTTGTGCTGAACGCTCCTGGAGGAAGTCTCGCACCCAGTCAGACTTTCCCCACTATAGATTCATATTGTGTTCATACAGTGCAGCCCTTGCCCTTGCCAAACAGTCCTATTTTTCCTCTCATTAGTTCATGTTCCCGCAAACCCCAGGCGTCTCTTTTACACCTTTAATTCTCTTCTTCGCCCCGCTGTGGCCACCCCCCAAACCAACCTTACTGCTGATAACTTTGCATGTTACTTCACTGACAAAATTGAACAGCTAAGGAAAGAATTGCCTTTCTGTTTCTCAATCACACATAGATCATGCCTTTCCTACCCTTCAGACATTCTCCCCAGCCACTGACCAAGAGGTGGCTGCTCTTCTTTGCTCCTCTCGCCCCACCACTTGCCCGCTCGATCCTGTCCCATCTCACCTTATCAGATCTCTCTCCACTTGTCTCGTGCCTTCTCTAACACACATCTTCAACTGCTCGCTCTCTTCTGGCATCGTCCCTGCTGACCTTAAACATGCCACTGTAGTACCTATACTAAAAAAACCATCCCTCGACCCGTCCACCCCCTCTAACTATCGTCCCATATCCCTGCTCCCTTTTTCCTCAAAGCTTCTGGAAAGACTTGTCTTTACCCGTGTGTCTCATTTCCTCAATTCCAACTCTCTCCTTGACCCCTTTCAATCTGGCTTCCGCCCTCTCCACTCTACAGAGACTGCCCTTATCAAAGTTACTAACGACCTAATCGCAGCTAAATCCAAAGGCCACTACTCCATACTAATTCTTCTTTACCTCTCAGTGGCCTTTGACACCGTTGATCATGCTCTCCTTCTTCAAACTCTGCAATCGCTTGGTCTCTGTGACTCTGTCCTCTCATGGTTTTCCTCTTATCTCTCCCAACGCTCATTCAGTGTCTCTTTTTCTAATGATACCTCCTCCCCTCTCCCTGTCTCGGTTGGAGTCCCACAAGGCTCCGTCCTTGGTCCCCGTCTATTTTCTCTTTATACTGCCTCTCTTGGCAAACTTATTACCTCATTTGGATTCCACTACCACCTGTACGCTGATGACACCCAGCTATATCTCTCCTCCCCGGACCTCTCCACTGCTGTCCTGCAACGTGTCACTGCTTGCCTTTCTTCCATCTCTGAATGGATGTCCTCCCGCTTTCTGAAACTAAATCTCTCAAAAACTGAGCTCCTTGTCTTTCCTCCTCCTAATACTGATCCTCCTCTTTCGCTCTCCCTTCAAGTTTGTGGTACCAACATCAGCCCATCCTTGCAAGCGCGCTGTCTTGGCGTCATACTTGACTCTGGTCTCACCTTTGAGCCTCACATCCAGCATGTTGCCAAATCCTGTAGATTCCATCTTAAAAACATAGCCCGCATCCGCCCCTTTCTTGCACCAGATACTACCAAGGAGCTTGTCCATGCTCTAGTAATTTCCCGCATGGATTATTGTAACCCTCTCCTGCTTGGTCTTCCCAAAAGCCGTACTGCACCCCTACAGTCTGTAATGAATGCTGCTGCTAGACTGATTTTCCTCTCTAGTCGGTTCTCTCACACCTCACCCCTCTGCCAGTCCTTACATTGGCTTCCTGTGTGCTATAGGAGTCAATTCAAGGCACTAACTCACACCTATAAAGCACTGAACAACTCTAGCCCCTCTTATATCTCCTCACAGATCCATAGGTATGTCCCTTCTCGGTCTCTCCGCTCTGCCCGTGACCACCTCCTGTCTGTTGTCCGCACCCGTACGGCCAACTCGCGTTTGCAGGACTTCTCGCGGGCGGCTCCCTTCCTATGGAATAGCCTGCCTCACGCCATCAGACTCTCCCCTAGTCTTGCATCTTTTAAGAAGTGCCTTAAAACCCATCTCTTTAGGAAAGCTTATGGCCTCCAAGACTAACCCCTACTTCACATACCTGTCTCTTGCCCTCTCCTAAAGGGCAGCCAACCTTATTTGATTGCAAATTCCTGTCCTACTGTGTTTTACACCCCACCTCCTATAGAATGTAAGCTCGATTGAGCAGGGTCCTCTTCAACCTATTGTTCCTGTAAGTTTATTTGTAATTGTCCTATTTATAGTTAAATCCCCTCACATAATATTGTAAAGCGCTACGGAATCTGTTGGCGCTATATAAATGGCAATAATAATAATAATAATAATAATAATGTCAAAAGGGGTTAATTTGATTGTATGGAAGGTCAGAAGGTTTTTTTAGCCTTAATTCTTATTAAAGTTGGGACCCCCTACAGAGGTCAGATGACAGAAGGAGTAAGGGAAATTGCATAGGAATGTGAAAAGGGTTTTACTATATGGATGGAGCCTGTGAATTAATCAAAGGCTCTGTAAGGTGTAAGTACATAGGCACATAAGTAGCCCGAATGTCTCTTCAGCCATATGGCCTCTACCTTTAAATTGATGAGTGGATTTCTTTGATATGTTAATGGCCATTAGCCTAGTTCCAGTATCATATTCAAGGGAAAAAACATTAATATTTACCCATAGAGTAATAATTAAGCCTAATTTTTGTTATGTTTGAAATGTGACAATCGCCCTCTTCTAAACAAGCCCAAACATGATTGGCATAACTTAACCATAAGGGAAAGAATTGTGATGTCCGCTCTATTGGGTTGCAAGTGCGGTGTGTACATATCTATAGAATGGGAAAATAATAAAACATTTGTAAATGCAATTATTATTTCTGTGGCAGGTACATAAGAGAAGATAGAACCAAATGTTTCCGTTTGGCTTGATATTGGTCTGGAACACAAGGGGGTGATCACTCATTATCTCTATATATACTCTTTAACTCCACCTCTAGACCAGGTGTGGTAATCCACAGGGTATATATCCAATGATACTGAAGTGTCTTAATACTTGCTTGTGGCCAGAATCTAATTCTAAGTGAGTCACCATCCTTCCTACCAGAGACCCCCTGATGCAGAAGAATTTACTTTGAGGAGCTGCGCAAGTGATTAGGACTTTCTGTTATTTTATCCCTTTTGTTTTTATCTGTTGTTGGTGTACAAAATTTGCTTGTCATCTATATTTTTGTATGCACTGTGACTATTTTTTGCTCATAATTTTTGCATACCTTAAATATTGTGCTAAGTTGTATTTGGTGGGTTTTTATTATTGATTTACCTGGGGGACCAAGGCACCCCATTTATAAATTGTCTTGGTGGTGGCAGCGTTAAAACAGTAATAGTTGTATTATCATGTTTAAGTGTGGGTGTTCGTAAGGGGGATTTTGTCATTATTTCCAGAAAAGTGAACTTTAACCCTTTCACCACCACAACTACATCATGTACACTCTTGAAGTAGAGTGCGTTCTTGACACCCGCACCCCGTAAATGAATTTTAAATACTGCAGGGAAGCAAGTGCTGCCCATTTAACATGACAAAATTATGTGTGTCCAGGAATATATGGAAAATATAGCAATCTTATTCAGTTCCAGTGTTTTCTGTAGAGCCAACGCAGATGAATTTACATCTCAAGTGTCTGTAGATGTAGAATTTAATGCATCCACTACTAGCCGCCCCACATTTCCACAAAAAAACCCCAAAAAACAGTTTTCCATTGCCTGCTCCATGATTTAGAATCTACACATTCTAAAATATTAGCCAAGTGACAATTTTAATCCCAAATCCCTCTCCCTCTTTTCTAAGAGCTCCATATTATTGGTGTGTATTAGTGTAT